TGGAGTCCTAATAGGATCCCAGTGCAGACCTGTAGGGTTTAGGAGTAAGGTAATGCCCTCTTCTGCCAACAACTATTGTCCATTTGAAACCTTGGTCTGGGCCTGCTCCTGGCCCTGGTAGAGCCTGGGTGCTTGGCAATATGATTCCAGGTGCTATGTGAGTATAGACTGACCTGGGTTTTATCCAACTGAACCATAAAACTGAAAGTATACAGCAACATTTCAGTATAAAATAGATGTGGCATATATGAGAATGGGTCTGAAGAGGTCCAGAGGCCCAGGCTCAGACTCCTTCAACACCTACTTAATGCCATGCTGGCTCCACTTCACCTCCATGCCTTTGGCTTCACAGGGGATCCCCTGTGACAAGAATATATAGGGTCTAATTCACCATGGATTATCTGCACAGGATGCAGGCAACATTCAAAAATAGACTAGATTACAGTCCTTCAATTGGTCTGGAAATTGGTCAAAGGATATCCTCCCAGTCAGTACAACTGGAGGTGGTACATCTGGTTTTCCACTTCATGTAGAAGGAGAAATAGATAAGGCAGGGATATTATTGGCCATGGGCAACAGTTAATAGTTTCTCAGCTGATCAGGGACTTGGAAGGAATTAAATTGGAAAACTGGTGATTAGGTCTGGGTAGAGGTGTACTCAGAATGCTCTCAGTTATCGGGTGGACAAGATGATCCATCCCATGGATGTCAGCTTTTCTCCCTGGCCACCTCGGAGGTTCCTCAATGGAGCCATGGGCAAAGCAGGTATGGTTACAGGGATGAAGGCTGCTTGTAGACACACAAACATGGTCTTTCCCTCACCAAGCCTGTTCTGGCTCTACAGTCACAGCTGATTGTAAAGCAAAGACATTTGCTTTGGTCCCAGTAATGGGATGTCCTGGCTGTCTGGTGGGAAGCTGACTATACTGGACTCTTATAATAGAGGCATCCTCCCCTTGTCTTCATAGTGACAGACAAATATCTGGATGTGCATTTTATTTCTGTTTGCATTACTTTTGCCAGCAATACCATTCAATACAGAATACCTTATCCACCATAATTTTATTCCATGCAACATTGCCTCTAATCAGAGGACCATTTACAGCAAAGTAAGTGTGGTAATGAACAACAAAACATACTCACCATATGTGCCATCACCTCTAAACAGCTGGCTTTGACAAAATTGTGTAATGGCTTTCCTAAGCTTAGGCACAACCCCAGCTGGGAGGTAACCAGTGATAAGCCAAAGCACATGAATAGTAACCTATTTTATGTCTTTCTTTCCTAGTCTTTTCTCACTCTCAAAACATTCTTCTTCCATAGCCAAGCTCTATATTTCTAATTATATGGACATTTTCATCTCAAACTTAACAGGTCCAAAACTGAATTTCTTATCTTCCCCATCATAAAAGTTGTTTCTTTTCAGTATTCCTCAGTTTATGACACCATCATTTACCCAGAAATCCAAGCCAGAAATGTAGGGATTATCCTACACCGCTTACCTTTAATAAACTTCCATGTGTGATCTGTTATCAGGTCCTATTAATTCTGCTTCCAAAGTACCTCCCAAATCTGACATTTCCCTCATTACTCACTGCAGCCTCTCATTCTCATCTCCCCTTTATCCACTGAGTCCTTCTAATTGGTCTCTTTGTCTCTAATCTCTTCCCCATCTCTGTATAAACACTGAAGTGATGTTTCTAAAACAAATTATGTCCCTTCCTTACCTGAAATATGTTAGGGGCTTCCTGTTACCTACATTCCACATGAAATTCTCTCTCCCTAGGTTGCTCTTTTCTGGCTCAGTTACATGGCAACAAGATGAAGATCTTTTTGATACTTGGTTTGAGAATCTCCTTCTGAAGCCTTCCCTGACTTACCTAGACAGACTTAGGCACTTCCTTTTGATGTACTACCATAGATTTTTTTATATATTCAGTTGTCACATTTTTGCAATTATCTGTATATTTGTCCACCACATCCACTAGACTTTTGAGACCCTAAAGCACAGGGACTCTGTTTTATTTTTTAGCATAGGGCTTCAGACATAGTAGGTATTTAATGAGTATGTGTTGTTTGTTGAATGAATGAATGAATGAATGTATGGAATCTTATGACTAAGTATGGTACTATTTCTTTTTTGTATGGTTGCAGGGGATGAAAAGAGAAATTACACTTTGTGTGCTTTATTCATTGTTGGCATTTAAACACTTCCATATGACTGTTGCTGAGAATCAACAGTTAACAAAATCAACAAAATCTTGGGGTTTTTTAAACCTCTGTTTCACTGAAAGAATTCTGATTTTTACATTCCTTTCTTTTCTGTGTCTTACTCTCTGTGTTAGCTCTCTGTGAACTCCTTTCCAATGTTAACTTTGATTCTTACTAGGTATTTGCATTTTAACTTCTCACCCTATTGTGACATTAAGAAAACTATTTCTCTAATGTTCTAAGTTTTCTAGCTTAGAAAGAATATGAGATCACTTTAAAGTAAATATATTACAACATAACTATAAAGCCAAATTTTATATATTTGTTTTCTTTTTAAAACACCATTTACTTATAAAATAAGTTATGATCACTGGACAGTGATCTTTATTTCTGATCACTATCGTATTTGAAGTTCTGTTCCTATTTGCTAACTGTTAGGGTCTAGGACTCCGGGGTTTCCCAGAGAACAAGACACACGGACACGGAGATGAAAATCCAAGCAAAGTCTTTATTCAGCCAGCAAGCTGGGGTCGACAGCACCTTCCCTGACACGCAGGCCGAGTCCAAGCTGCCGACCCCGAAGCAACTTTGGGTTTTGATTATATAGGATCTTCACAGCAGTTACATCAAAGCCCGCGCAGTTCTACAACTAATAGGTTTAAAACACACTCTATATTGTAACCAATGGGAAACATTGTAACTTTTTTAGGGAACGCGCCAGTTGCCTGCCCGCTTCAATTGTTATCTCTTGCTTACCCAAGCATGTCTATGTGACTTATCACGGGTTACATGCCCAGGCGTTCCCTGGCTGTTGCCCACTTCTAGTTATATAACTTAGGGTAGGCGCATTTCTCAGAAGCCTCGGGTAATTTACACAAGAAAAGACTGGGTGGCTCTCGCTCTAGGCAGTCAGGTTAAGTGTCATTAGTTCTTTTTCCTGACTTGATGCTCTTTGCTCTCCGTTACACTAACCTGTTATTGTTTAGTCACTATTATAGTCCACTTAACTATAAATAGTGACTGATTTTTAAAGAGTTCAAAAAAATTATTGGAATAAGTCTTATAACTCTCTTTAAAACAAAGTGTCTTTCTCTGTGTCCTTGATGACAGCAAAAATAGGTATCTGAATTGTTGTATATTACTGTTGTAAAAGGAATAAGGAATACCATCCAAGTTTCAAAATCTATTCTTAAGTGTTTGTATATTTGGGATGGCAAAACATGGAGGAATTCATAAAATACGTGGTCATCCCCAGCATTCCAGAAGTTTCTCATTTCTAAATGCATTTTTGTGGTGGCATGAGCATTAGCTAATAAATCTGAGCCAGTGGGTACCATCATTCATTTAATACATGGTTACTGAGCTGCCTATTATGGTCAGAGAATATAGAGTGGAAGATTGCAGGCTCCATGAAGTAATTTCATCTGGTGGACACTCAATAAGTATTAAATGAAAGTAAGTGAATGAAGAGCTACAGAAATACTGTGAGATCATCCTTTCTTTACAATGTGTGCTCTTACTAACCAATCTAATTCAAGGGTCATGCTCCTGCTTCTATAAAAGCATTAGTTCTCTTGGATCACTGTTCATTTACAGTTTGACACAGGAAAAACTTCTGGAGGGCAGGGCCACATGCTATCACTGTCAGAGCTATGCCACCCAAGATTATGAAAGCCTTTTTTTAAATTGAATGCTTATTATGTACCAGTCATTGTTCTAAATGCTTTAAAGGGATTTAAATTTCTAAAGAGTACTAGGAGTGGTAGGAGAAGGTAGTATTATGATTACCATTTTAAGGAAGAGGACACTAAGGCCCAGAAAGGCTAGGTTATCTGGCAAAGGTTATACTAGTAAATCACAGAAGCAAGATTCAAAGCCAGGCAGTTTGATACCAGAGTCCTAGCTCTACCCCACCACTGTGCCACTCCTATTAAGTGTCAAATTAATAAATGGATGCAATGTCAGAATAGTTTAGCCTTTACAATGGAACACCGATATAGATCTTAAAATGAAAAACAAACAAAAAATGCTATATTCTAATATTCTTGGTAAAGACTACTAACTTCTCTCTACTCATTCATCTCATGTTTTGGTGGGTGCATTGATTTGTATGCTCAGACTAATATAAGACAAAACGATGCTACTGAAGCAGTCTGGACTTGGAGTTAGATTTGAATACTGGCCCTGATATGTATTTACTACATACATGATCTTGAATGATTTACCTTCTCTAAGTCTCAATTTCCTTATCTACAAAATGGGAATAAATATAGCTGTCATAAATGGCTGTGCCTTTTTAAAGAGAATTAAAGATAATGTATGAAAAGTACCTGACACAGAAAAAATGTATCTCTCTCCCCTTTACCACTTCCTCTCTCTCCTCCCCTCTTCCCATCTGCCCTTAGCCATGTGACTTATTAGAAATTGCTCAACTCTTCCAGGATTTATTTCCTCACCTACAAAATGGGTATACTAGTTATCTGGTTTCACAGATACTTTGCCTCTGTCATTCTGAGTCAGTAATATGATAACTGAGTTTTTCTTTGTACCTATAAACAGTGCAACTTAGTGAGAGGTGATTTTAAGAGGAGGCTTCTCTGTTAGTGTGATTGATTAAGTTGCTTTGCTTTTTTCAGAAGATCCTAACACACAGAACTTGGTTTAGATGTTAAATAGGATGAAAACCTGTTTTAATATGTAAATAGTTTCACAGCACGAATATATGGTAACTGCATCTACTAGTAACCCCTTATTTCAGATTTATGTTTTCCTTCCTTTCCTCTGTTTAGGTACCGTATGGGAGAGCTGAAGGCTAAAGCAACAAATCGTGAAACTCTATGTTTAATTCACACAGCAACGAAAGGGCTAATACAAGCTATTGAAGATGGTGGAATAGATTCTGTGATGGAATGGGAAGTGGATGAAGTGCTGAACTGGACAAATACACTGAACTTTGATGAGTAATTTCATGTTGCTATTCTGGGGGAGCAGAGTAGTCATCATATGCTTTTCTTTTTAATATTTCCCATTCCCTTGTTGAACCACAAATATAATCTTAAAAAAAACAATTATTTATCATTTGTCTAGAAAGTAAAGTGAGGGGGAAAGACTTAAATAGTATGATCTATAAGTAGAAAAAGAAAATTAGACTTCAGTGTTCTTTAGTCTCAGACTTTGTTCTTATGCTTTAGTCTAAATCTGCTTTACTTCTTTCTTTGGGATTTAGAAACAAAGCAAACATGAAATTAATAATACAAAGTATTCCTCAATCTTCCCTTATTTTCCTGTGTGAACATTAAAAAGTTGTCATTTTTAAGTGACATCTATGGCCCTTGAAAAACATTTTAAGCATTTTTTGTGTAATGGAAATTATGAATATTTAATATAGCCATCAGGGAAATACAAATCAAAACCACAGTGAGGTCCTACTTCATACCCACAAAGATGGCTATAATTAAAATGACAGATATAGTATCAACAGTTGGCAAGGATGTGAAAAAATTAGGACTGATATACTGATACTGGGAATGTACAGTAGGGCAGCCACTTCAGAAAACAATCTGGCAGTTCTTCAAGTGGTTAATATAGGTGATCCAGCATTTCCACTCCCTGGTGTATACACAAGAGAAGTGAAAACACATCCACCCAAAAACTTGCACATGAATGTACATGGCAGCATTATTCATAATAACCAAAACACAGAAATGACCCAAATATTCATTAACAGATGAATGGATAAATAAAATGTGGCACACTGGAATCACTGGAATATCACTCAGCAATAAAAATACATGCTGATACATGCTACAATATTGATGAACCTGCTAAGTGAAAAGCCAGTCACAAAGTACCACAGATTATGTGGTTCCATTTATATAAAATTTCCAGAATAGGTAAATCCCTAGAGACAGAAAGTAGATTAGTGTTTACCTAGGTCTGGGAGATGTGTGGGAATTGCAAGGTGATAGCTAGGGGGTATGGAATTTTATTTTGTAGTAATGAAAAAGTTATAAAATTGATCATGATGATCGAAGCACAAATCTGTGAATACACTGAAAACCATTGAATTGCACACTTCAAATGGGTGAATTTTATGGTACATGAATTATATCTCAATAAAGCTTTTAAAATATTCAATATTTATTCAGCTGCAATAATAAATATGAATATTACACAGATGAAGAGGCAGAAAATTAAAATGAAGATGGTGTAATAAAGAAACATAAGAAAAAGGAAGAAATTAGTAAGAGGGAGATAAGAAAATGGAACAGGCAAAGTGAAGTTGATTGTCATTGACAATAGGCTAGGGAAAAGGTCAGAAGAAGCAGAGAAGAGAATAATAAGAAATGGAAAGATAATAGAAGAAAAGGTAAAGTATGACTAAGCAAAAAGGAAAATAGGAAAACAAGAATGAAAGAAACAAAAAGATACTGACAGGAAAGCCCTTTAGAGTTCCCAGACCGCATGTTAACATGAGGGTATTCCCCCAAGCACACAACACCAAGCAATTCTTGAACACCAGCACAGTGTCCAAGAATTCAACTCAATTCTGACTGTTCACCCAAAGGGAGCCTCAGATTGCACAGGATAAGGACTCTGTCCTACAAGACTGCTCCAGGCCCCCACTTCAGATGCCAGTGGCAAGACCTAGGCTGTTAAGTACCACAGATTGGAGGTTTCAACAACCAACAATATTTTGATTACCTCAATGACCAAATACATATTTCTTATAAATCACAATACCACAGAATATATTTGAAAATAAAGATTAAAGATGGCAGAAGGGGATTGTGGGGTATCATGACTGACGCACATGGTATGTGTGGGGTCACAGGGAAGACAGTGTGGCTCAGAGAAGACAAATAGGGACTCTGTGGCATCTTGCTACACTGATGGACACGGACTGCAATGGGGTATGGGGACTCAATAATAAGGGTGAATGTAATAATCACATTGTTTTTCTTGTGACACCATAAGAGTGTAAATCAATGATACCTTAATAATAATAATAATAAAAGATGGTGGTGTAAGAGGTGAGACAGAGACCTCCTACCAAAACCACATATACTATGAGAATATAGTTAATACACTAAATCTTAAATGAGCAACAGGAGAGAAGAGTGTACCAGACTGCATACACCTAGAGAAAAGAGCAGACATCACAAAACAGGATAACATACCAAAGCAGTGATCTGGCAGGATCCAAGCCCTTTCCCCAATCCAGCTCACTGGTGAGAGAAAGAGAAACAGAGCAGGGAGGGGATGGAAGTCTAGGACTGCTGAACACCCAGCCCTGGAGATCTGCTCTGGGAGAAAAAGCCTACATTCTATGGTGCTCTGGAGATTAGTGGGTTTGGAAAGCCAAGACAGGCAGAATACCTGGAGAGACTGAGATCCCAGCCACTTGTGGAAAACAGGAATCCACATCCAGCTGCTCTAGGACAAAAGAAAGGCGGGCAGTCTGAGAGACTTCTTAACAGCGAGAGGGCTTCTGAAGGGGCAAGGATTGCACAGAGCTTACTGCTCAGGGGAAAGGACAGGTGGACAGGAAAGGACAGGGGAAAGGACAGGATGCACTCTGCCCAGCAGGTTGGAAACTTTCAGGAGCTACAGGCACGCCATCCCCATGGCTGGCTATGCAGCTCTGAGGCCACCCACCATGATATGCAGTCCTCTGTGCCTTTCTCTTGGCAGGCACTGGCTTGCAAACCAGCAGTCCCTGATGTTGCGTGAGGCCAGCCAGAGGGAGGCCCCACCTATTGCAGTTACAAATGCAAAGCATAGAGGCATACACCTGTGCATCTGGCCCACTGGTGCTGGCAGTGTAGACAGGCACAGCAGCCAGGAAGGATGTACCAGCTCTTTCCTGCCCCCAGGGACCAGTGCCACTCTGCCGCAACCCCCGACATTGCTGCAGGGGCAAGCAGATGCAGAGAGTAGAGTTTCTGGGCACTACAGGGTGCCACATACAAATATGAAACTTGAACGGAGCTTGGTTCAAACCAAAATCCCACAAACACCAGAAAAAGTGCCAAGTGAACCTGAACTCATGAATCTTCCTGAAAGAGATTTTGAAATAAAAATAAACATGCTAATGGAGCTACAGAAAAATATTCAAGAACTCAGGAAGGAATTCTGGACAGAGATTCAATAATTAATAAATTCAATATCTGAAATGAGCCATACAATGGAGGGATTTAAAATGAGATTAGATGTAGTAGAGGAGATGGTAAATGGAGTAGAAGTTAGAGAACACAAATACAAAGAAGCTGAGGATCAGAGAGAAAAAAGGATCTCTAGGAATGAAAGACTATTGAGAGAACTATATGACCAATCCAAACAGAATAATATTCGCATTATAGGGATACCAGAAGAAGAGAGAGAAAAAGGGATAGAAAGTATCTTTGAGTCGGTAATTTCTGAAAACTTCCCCAATCTGGGGAAGGAAATAGTCTCTCAGGCCATGAAGGTAAACAGATCTCCCAAAACAAGGGACTCAAGGAGGACAACACCAAGACAGACAATAATTAAAATGGCAGAGATCAAGGAAAAGGACAGACTATAAAAAGCAGCCAGAGAGAGGGGAGGGGAGTGGGAGGGTGGGAGGGGAGTGGGAGGGTGGGAGGGGAGGGAGGGAGAAGGGTATTGAGGGGTATTATGTTTAGTACACGTGGTGTGGGGGATCATGGGGGGAACAGTATAGCACAGAGAAGGCACACAGTGGATCTGTGGCATCTTACTACACTGATGGACAGTGACTGCATTGGGGTATGGGTGGGGACTTGATAATATGGGTAAATGTAGTAACCACATTGTTTTTTATGTGAAACCTTCATAAGAGTATATATCAATCATACCTTAATAAAAATTTTAAAAAAAAGCAGCCAGAGAGAGAAAAAATATCACCTACAAAGGAAAATCCATCAGGCTATCATCAGACCCTTCAACAGAAACTGTACAGGCCAGAAGGGATTGGCATGATATATTTAATGCACTGTAACAGAAAGGCTTCAAATGAAGAATACTCTATCTGGCAAGATTATCATTTAAATTTGAAAGAGAGATTAAACAATTTCCAGATAAGCAAAAGCTGAGAGAATTTACCTCCCACAAAATGTCTCTACAGTGTATTTTGGAGGGACTACTATAGATGGAAGTGTTCCAAAGGCTAAATAACTGTCACCAGAAGAAATGAAACCACAGTAAAGAAAGTACAACAATTAATTACTAAGCATATGCAAAATCAAATCATCTACCTCCAAAGTCAGTCATGGGATAGACAAAGAGTACAGAATACGATACCTAATATAGAAAGAATGGAGGAAGAAGGACAAAAAAAAGAACAACCTTTAGATTATGTTTGTAATAGCATACCAAGTGAGTTAACTTAGACTGTTAGATAGTAAGGGAATTACCCCTGAACCTTTGGTGACCATGAATCTAAAGCCTGAAATGGCAATAAGTACATACATATCGACAATCACCCTAAATATAAATGGTCTGAATGCACCAATCAAAAGACAGAGTCACTGAATAGATTAACAAACAAGACCCGGGACTCAAGATGGTGGCATGAGAGGTGAGACAGAACTCCTCCCAAAACCACAAATAGTATGAAAATATAGTTAATTAAAACAACTAACTCTAAAACAGCAACAAGAAAGAAGGCTGAACCAGACTGCATACAGACCTCACAAACAGAGCAGACCTCACGAAACAGGGTAATGTATGAAAGCCTTAATCTGGTGGGACCCAAGCCCTTCCCACACCCCAACTCACCAGCAGGAGGAAGAGAAATGGAGCGGGGAGGGGGTGGAAGCTTGGGACTGCTGAACACCTAGCCCTGGAGGTCTGCTTTGTGAGCAGAAACCTATATTGTGTGGTGCTCTAGACATTGGGGAGCTCGGACAGGCAGAGTGCTTGAGAGACTGAGATTCTGGCCATTTATGGAGGAGGGGAC